GGTCATTCCATGAGAGAGAGAGAGAGAGAGAGAGAGAGAGAGAGAGAGAGAGAGAGAGAGAGAGAGAGAGAGAGAGACTCTGAACCATGACACTTGAACAGTCACTTTACAACATATGGTCTGTTATTTATGATACACAATTGTACAATCCCTTGTAATGCTCATCTTTGTGTGATTGGTCATAGAGCGACTATGTTATGAAAAAAACACCATCCGTGATTGTCCTCAATGCAAGGTTGGCTAGTGCGTGCCACTCTCTCTCCCATGCCACCATGTTGTTAAATTTGTGTCACGCAGTAGTGAACCGTGCTTGTAGCAGGCCATCTCAGCATTTAATTGAGGCTCCCTCACGCGTTCGTCCATAGAATGAAGTACAACAATCCTACAAACTCGAAAAGGAAGGTTGGCTACTGCGTGTCACTCTCTCTCGCGGACTGCCATGTTGGTAAATTTGTGTCACACAGTAGTGAACCGTGCCTGTAGCAGGGCAGCTCAACATTTAATCGACGCGCCCTCACGCGTTATCAGCAAAATGAAATACCGCAATCTAGCACCAATCAAAAACAAAGGATGGCTACTACGGGCCAATGTTTGTCTCGCACTGCCATGTTGGTGAATTTGTGTCACGAAGTAGTGAACCCTACTTCCAGCTCTCTCTCTCTCTCTCTCTCTCTCTCTCTCTCTCTCTCTCTCTCTCTCTCTCTCTCTCTCTGACACTCTCTCTTTATCTTCAGTTATTGTGGTCGTTGCATGTCAGGAGTACTGAAAGACTCAACGATTAACATTTGCGAAAGACCATATCATATCGTGCAGCAGGAGAAAATGACTGCGAAGAAACCGCGAAAACCGACGACATGAGCCAAAAATATCGATTTTTTCCCCCAACACAGAACGTAATGTTCTACAAAAGGTGAACACGTTTTCAACAGGTTTCAATAAGTTTTCTACACGTTTCAACAAGTTTTTAACAAGTTTCAACTAGTTTTCAACACGTTTCAACACGTTCTCCACAAGTCTTCAACAAGTTTTCAACAAGTTGTCAACAAATGGTCAACAAATGGACCAACATTCTTTCAACAAATGGACCAACAAATGGACACACCAGTTTCAGTTTTCCCAATGTTTGGTCAACGTTGGTTTCCTTCACTTCTGGTGGAACACATGCCCCCCCCCCCGCCAAACAGTTTATAAACACAGTTCCAACGGTTGAAATGTGGTGTCCACATGTGATCATCCTGTCAGAAAATTTGCCACAATTTTTCTGTTGCTATCCTCTCTACCTCGTTGGTTGTCCCCTATACCAATATTTCGGTCGGTGTCAGCTCCAACCTCATCAGGGGGGTTTTTTCTGGTGCCTAACTGCTGGTATCAACATTATTTATGTGTATGCGAGAGAACTCATGCCTCCTTGTCGTCCCAGTTGGAAAAGTTCCCCTCCGATTTTTGTCTTATTCTCGCTCTTCCCTCACTCCTTACTCAAACTGGTTTTGTGAAGCTTTTCTCGATATTTTCGTACATCCCTCACTCCGTCTGGTTTCCAACTGGTCATTTCCTGACTCTTCCTCCCGTTTCCTTCCAAGAGAGATGGGGGTCCCCGTTAACCATTTGTGCCTTTTGAAAACCGATTTTTTTTCGGTTTCCTCCTTTCCCTACTCATAATTGTTTTTCCTTTTATCTCCCGCTCAACCGCCTTTCCCACACGGCCCATTTGAGTTGTTTCCATGCTACAAAATTTTGTAAACCTTTTATGAACATACCCTTTGGGTGCCCGGTGATCCTGAGCTCCCTTTTGGGAGTTCAATGCAGCCGACAAGGTAGTCGTATTGCCGCAATTTTCACTTGATGAGATGCGCTGCCAAAGTCATTCATTTCAACCTATTGCCAACTTAAGATTCTACACGCTCTCACTTATCTCCATAATTTCTCAATTTTTTTGATGACGGGTGGCTTTGTGAATGATTCTTGATCAGGTGCATTGCTTGAAGTATTGCATGTCTCTCCCTCTAGGAAGTGCTCTGGGGTACTCCTCCTCCTCGCCCGAGCACAACGCTCGGATCTCAGAAGTCGGACTGTCTCCATCGAATCGGCAAAGTACCCCCTCGTAGAAACGGTCCACTCTGGGTCGATAACAGGGTCGGCTCCTAAAGCAACGAACCCCCGCCCCAGATGCTTTCTTGAAAGAGAGAACGTTGTCGAGCGCATCTGTCCGGTGCCGCACAAGGCAGGGCGGGACCCTCCCGGCCGCGTCACGCAAGAGTCGGTCTGATCCTCGTCGCGAATACACATGGAGCTTCTGCAAGCCGCTCCGGCCGAGTGCGCCAGCCATACCTCTCGCGAGCCCCTACGACAGGATAGGGCTTACGCGAGGCACGACTTTCCTCCACCTTACAGGAGCTGCCACCTCCCTTCGGTGGGCGTATCCCCCCGAGCTACCAGTCCACAGTACGAAAGCTAATCAGTTGCAATCGCAGAGGTGGACCAGCCGAGGGCGTTTCTTGTTTGGTGTAGCATAGGGGGTACGCGCGGTTTTACACCTCTATCGGATCCGCACGCGAACCGACAGCTTGGGGGGCTGAAGTCCCAAGCGCGACTCGTCATCGGTCGACTAGGACGCATCCCACACGCCACGCGTACACCACTCTAAAAACATAAAACATAAACACATGCACACATACACATACGCAAAACGACACAGAACAAACAACGCGACAACACTCCTAGTCCCTTAGTAGTCATCCCATAACTTTCCAATGAGGAAATCGGATAGGCGTCGCGCGCGAGACTTAGTATAGAACTGCGCAGACGCAGGGTCTTCTCATATTGACTAGCAATGCATAAATACGCGAGCAGTCACAATGATGGTGTACTATATAGTACCCATACCCATGCAGTCCTCGTTAATCTCGAGGGCCGCATTTGACACTAAAGTGTCGGTTGACACGCGCCTTGAGGGAACGATCTCTCGACGCTGGACAACCGCCAAGTGCGGTTGAAAACCACACCCTCTTCTGCCCCCTGCGGAGAGTGGGTGGTACACAGGTTCATACCTGTGTTGACAATCGTCTCTTATCGCCCTGGAGACCAACTCTATCATCCTGGGCCTGGAAAGAAGTCAAGGGGTTTGACTTTGACGACTGTCACATACAACAACGTCCAACTATAAAAATTAACAAGCGAAATCAAAGTAAATAAACATCCTAACACTCATATATCAAATCAGATCTCGAGATAAAATAAAAGAAGGGGAAACATAAACCCATCAGGTATGCAGATCGTGCGTCACATGGTTGTCATTGTCACTGTCTCCAAGGTACGACTCATATGCCAAACTCCAAATACTTACCTGCGTAAAACATAAAAACAAACGATAGCCACATTGTCATACACCAATGTGGTCAACTTTATTATTCTCTGTAACTCACACCACGCCTCACACACTCAAGCCCCAGTCTTAGTTTAAATTTTCATAAATCTCATAAGTTCTTTATAATGGTCATTTAAAGGAAGTTCGGTTAAAACCCTCAAAGAAACATATCAAATCTCAGGGCTAAGGCAATTAAGTTGAGGTACAGGTGTAAGCAAAGTTGTGTCGTGAGCCGACATGTCGGTGATCAACCAACCGACTTGTTATCAGTGATAACAGAAGATAATCCTCGTAGGATAAAAACAGAATCTCGTCCAAATCCTGGATCGAATGTCCAAAGAATGCCTGTATCATAAGACAATTCAATGCCCAAGTTAAATCATCAGTGTATGCAGAACAAATCCCCATGACACATTCTCATTCAAGACTCTCCTGATAACCAAACCTAGGTCTATCTCTAAGTCGGTACCCAAAGAAAGGTGGACCCATGGCAAAATCTCCCCCATATAAAGTGGATTGTCAAGATCGCAACTTGCCCAAAATATAATCTATCTCTTCTAATCTAAGAAAATTCCGGCAGCGCTTCCCGTAAGAAAAGTGTTTTCTCAAAATTTATATCAGCCAGAATATGAAAACAAAAATAATCTTCAACTTTCCAAAGTCAAATTTTGTACAACTCCCTGATTTCGCAAAAATTTGGGTAACATTCCCTTTAGAAAATGAAACTTTCCAGATTTTTACTAAGCCATATATAAAAATTAGACAAGTTGAACTTTGAACGGTCAAATTTTGACAAACTTCTTGGATTTGCAAAAAATTCGGCAGCTCTTCCCGTAGGGAAAGTAGCTTACCAAAATTTATACAACGCTAAGTTCAGAATCTAAGGTGACTTTGACTTTTCAAGGTCTAATTTTGTCTAACTCGCTGAAGTAGCAAAAATTTGGACAGCATTCCCTTTAGAAAATGAGGTTT